GCAGGAATGATGATAGTACATGACAGGTTCAGGTCAGACTTATAGGATTTTTTTAAAGTACTTCTGCAGTCCTCGTGACTGTAGATTGAGGTTGGAATGCAGGAATTGAGTGTGTCCTAAAACAAAAATTGAACTAGGATCATAGGATGATCCAGGTTGTAAGGGACCTTGGCGGTGTCCCCAGTCTGACCTCCTGCTCAAAGCAGGCCAGCGATGAGCTCAGACCAGGTTTTTGGGGGCTCCATTGAGATGGATGAAGCCTGCACAGCCTTTCTGGTTGTTTGGTTCCACTGAATTGACTCCCAATGTATTTCTTCAATAAAATCTCATTACTGAACCAATATCATTGAGATTTGGACCTCATTGCTGCACAGTTAAGTTTGGCAATACCTGTAGCCATCTGTAGGAACTTATTGCTAGCCAGAGGATTCAGCACAGTGAGATCACTCCATCATATTTGTTTTTCATTTAAATACTAATAGCTGGTTTCAACTACATAGCAAAAAGGTGGATTAATCTTATCCTTGATTTTTGACAGAGAAACTGATGAGAGAGGCTATAATTAGGTTTCATTGGAATTTTATGAAAATGAATCTGTAGTAAATTAATTTTTCAGTGGCTCTTAGGCTGTTTTGCATATTAAAAAGAAAAAAGCTTCTGAATGAATGCCTCTGGTTTTCTACCATCTCATTAGAATTTCTCTCTGCTCAAAATGTGCAGGAGTTTAATTAGATGCACTTGCCAATGTGGAGATTAGAGAGGAAGCCCCTTTTCCAGGCCATTGCACTCATCTGGGTTGTGGCCAGAATTTGGTTTTTGTGGGCCCTGAATGAGTTATGTCTGGAAGAGGAGAGAACTGCAGTTCTGCTTTCTGACTCACTGGGGTTCGTCTGGCCGTACTCACTGAGCAGGTGATGGACGATTTACATCAGGGGCTGCATCTGTTGAATGGATGCTCTGCGCTTCTGTAACCTGAGCAGAGCCTTTTGCCTTTCTGTTCCTTTCCTCATAGTGAATTCTGGGAAAACTTTCCCAAAGAATGATTTCAAGTCGATCGTAAAAAATTATAGTCTGTTCAAAAATAATTACATTTCTAGGACAGGTTATTTCTTTTCCTGACGTTCTGCGTACACTTCACAAAAATTGCATGCTTTAGAAGTCTTCAGCGACATGCTTTGACAGCCTAGAATAGGCAGGCTAAATTGTTTATTTAGTACTTGTTAGCAGGACAGCCTGAACCCTGAAATCTCTTCTATGTAGCTAATCTCATGTCAAAGCTGCAGCTTGACTTACTGACACCCTGGGTGCAGTCATAGCTCTGCTACTGTTTTGTTACGAACTTAAATGGGTCGGATTTCAATTTGGATGTTGAAGCGTGTTACCGATCCTGTTTTAAAAGTATGCCCTTTCACTGGTTGAAGACATACCCCGAGAAGGGGTTTTCCTCTCTCTTCCTGAAAAATAATCCTCATTTCTGCTGTGGGATGAAGTCAACCATGGCTATCTTTAAACTTGGCGGTATCATGTAGCAAATGGTCAGCTAAATTTAAAATCCATTTTTTTTGGCATGAAATCTGGCAGAAGTATTTGTAAGATAAAAATGCAGTTACAGTTGATTTAATTTTCTCCTGAAAACTAGGACACAAGTTCATGATTTAAATCTTTATTTTTAGATGATGACATTTGAGTACTTCTGTTCATAGTTGAATAAATGGCTTGTAGTGATAAATGGAAGCAATTTATATGATAGAAGTTGACTCTAGATCACCAGTCTCCCTTGGGTTGGTTCCTTATTTAAAACGATTATTCAGCCAATGTTTATCTCAAGATGTCAGCTGTTGGGAAACGTGGCATCTCCTATTAGCACAAAGCTAACAAGAAGGAAGGGGTTTTAGGGGCTAGTTCAGCATCTGTGGCATTTAGAATTATACCAGGTAGCTTGGCATTTAAGTTTCATGAAAGACACAGCATTGCTTGACTCTAGTTTTCACAATATGTTATTTCATGTAAAATAGTGGTAAAGTAGGCAGAGATACATAAGTGAGAGCCAGTCTTTGTATAGGTCACTTGACACCACCTAAACTGTAGGAAAGCACACCACAATAAAACTAGATAGCTGGTACAGGATTTCTTACACAAAGAGTCAGGAAGGATTTTGGGTAGGATTCAGTTCATCTAACTTAGCTGTCTTGGAATCAAAATTTTGATAATCAGGCTCTTCCTGTAAGTAATGGGGAAAGAGAACGAGGTGGGGAGAGGGAGATATCTCTAGAGCTTCATTGTCAGAAGTTAGGTATTGTTCTTTCTCCTATAACTATTGAAGAATATTCAGCAAGAAGTTTGGAGCAGATACCTAACTATCAAGCAACTGAATGTTGTAATTTCTTCCCCTTTTTAGTGAATTGTTTGTCCATTTTCTGAGCCATTCACTGGAACATGCCTTCTTCGTGATATGAGCTAATAAAATGAATCAACCTCATTTTGTGTCTCTTCCTAAGTCCCTATGGGAGTAGTAACTTTCGAGGACCAGACCAGACAAGCAGTTTGTGTACGGAAAGTCTGTTAATGATAGTTTTTTATCTTTTTCCTGTGCAGTATTGTGTATGGACCGACGGGCTGAACGCCCTCCTCGGGAAGGATATGTTGAGTGATCTAACACGGAACGACTTAGACACGCTACTCAGCATGGAGATAAAGCTACGCCTCCTTGACTTGGAAAACATACAGATCCCAGATGCTCCCCCACCTATCCCAAAGGAGCCCAGCAACTACGATTTTGTTTATGACTGTAACTGAGGCTGCCACTGAAACTTGCTTCAAAACTGGAAATATTATAACTGGAGAGATATTGAAAAAAAAAAAGAAGAGTGTGAGGGAAAAAACCAAACACTTGTGCACCTTGGATTTTGGCTCTGGGGAGGGGTGTAGAAACACTTGTGTTCCTTCCTGTTCCCTGCATCCCTTCCTTCCCCATTCCCATCTTCCCCATTGCTCATCCAAATCCACATTGCTTTAATTAACTTGTAATTGCAGGCCATTGGCCTTGCTTAAGGCAAAGACTGCCACTAAGAAGCACCCTCCCGAGGACTTTTTTTACATTTTTAATACTGGAATAGACATTCTTAACTGAAGGACGATGTTACCAAACTGCATGCCTGTGAAAGCCACTTGGCAGGGCAGAGGCTTTAACTGGAAGGAGGAGGGAGGTAGGGAGCAGAAGCAGCTACTGTAAGCAGAAGATTTCCCCAGACACTCCCAAGAGTCTGCTCACAGCCGATTCCAATGCGATGACGAAAATCGTTAACTGCTTCCCAGTGCTTGCGCCATTCGTCACTGTCATTATTCTTTCCACTGCCATCTCGACTCTTGCCACCAGCCTTCACCCAACTGATCGGCTCCCAGAATGGAAAGTCTGCAGGGTTTTTGCTGTACCATACGCTGTAATGCTGCAACAGCTTTTACCTTCTTTTCCTCCCAGCTCTGAAATAGCCCCACATTAGCAAATCAGTCGCACAAACTGTGTATGAAGCCACTAGCGTGTCCCATCCCTGTAGCGCTCCCTAAGCCTCAGTTGCCTCTCAGATTGGCTTGTTGCTGTTCAAAGTGATTTTTATTTTCTTGGTCCAAAGTTCAACAGTAATTTCCACGAATTAATTACAACTGTCAAACATCCAGGTTTACATTGTTGTCATTGCTACAGTGTTAGAGATTTGCAAGGGATTTCTTTTGTACGGGTTCTAATTTTTTATTTTATTTTGCCAAACAAATATATTTAATGAAAACTAATTTCATTGTGAGTACTTTGGGGGGACAATATTTTTACTTAATTTCCATTTGGATCATTTGCCCTGAAGGGAAAAAGTATTATTTCCTTTCACCTTCACTGTTGAATAAAAATCTGAGTTGTGATGATTCTTGGAACTTTGTTTTTCTTCTGAATTTGTCTTTTATTCTCCGTGGTTCCTAGCAGTTCTGAAGTGCTTGGTACAAAGAGCAGAGGGAAAGGTGGAGCCTGTCTTATCTGCATCTGATTTCGTTTACTTGTTTGTTTGTTTGTGGTGACAAGGATGAGATGCATCAGGGTCCGTGAGCCTTCCTGTGAGAAAGACCCTTGGTCAGATCGGAAGCCGCAGCATACCGATGTGCTCAGGGTCAGTTTAAGGCGGCTGCCTTTACCGTGCTTGCTGGAGTAACTGCCTTCCAGTATTTCCATTTCCTCCAAGGAGAGTGCTTCTGGCTGCAGCAGATTGGTACTGAGGGAGTTTGGGCTTTGCGGGTTGGATTCCCTCCCTCCTCATGTTCTCCTGGGTATTTCGCCAAGCTCAATATCTCTTACTCCAAAAGCGTTGGGTCTAGATCTAGAGGAACCTGCCAGCCCTTTCCCTCCCACCGCACGTTCTGAAGAGAGATGTTTATTTGTGCGAGTTCCTCTCCTACTCAGACCCAGCTGAAGAAGACTGTGAAGGGGCTTTATCAGAGCTTGTGCTAATGAGAAACCTAGAGGGTGGTTCCCATTTAGACAGATGCAGAAGACCTCAACTCCGCTGACCTTTGCTCCATCCAACTGGCTCTGGGGCAGACTGACCTCCTGCCAGGTGAGAAATGATGTCCTGCGGGTGCAATGAGGAGGATGAGCAGCACATTGTATGAGTTCAAGCATGAGGGTCCTAAGGAAGGTGCCTTCCTGAATCTGTGTTTGCAGTACGTGTGTCTTTATCTAGCAGGAGACACAACTTGGTTTAGGTGGTAATGGATGGTAAAGTAAGCAAGAAGGAGACTGGGAGTTAAGCACTGGAGTAGGAAGTTACAGTGGGCTGTGGCCTGAGAGAAGGTTGAGTTGGAATGAGGACAGGCATGTGCAACGTGGGGTGTGGGACTTTGAGATGGTTTGTTTTCCGGAGCCTTGTCAGACTATAGCAAAGCTAGTCATGGTCAGGACGGAGCAGAAGCAAAGGCACTGCCTGCCACAGGGGATTTTGGCGGGGTCCTGGGGCTGGGGGATGGTGGTAAGAACATGTTTCTTTACCAGACACTGATGCTGCCTCCTGTCTGCGTGAAGACAAGACTTGGAGCAGAACAGAGAATCTGAGTTGTTTTATTTATCTCCCTGACCCACCTGGATGGCTTGGCTGCGCATAACCTGTGCTTTTTATTTACAGACTGCAGAGCTGGTGCTTCAGATGGGTCTTGCTCATTGTCAGAAGAAACACCTTTCCCTCCTAAGTGATAAGAGCCAAACGCCGCTGGTTCAGTGGCAATCCGATGCCGTGATCTCAGCAGGCAGGCGTCTACGTGACAGTCAGAAAGGAGCAAACAAAATCCCTTCTTCTCCGGGGGACAACTTGAGCAGGAGGGAAAGGTTAGCCTTTCCTCCCCCACCAAGGTGAGTGCCCTAAATTGCACGCCAAGAGCCCAGGGGAGGTGGTGGGAGGAGAGCTGGCAGCCCAGCCCAGCCGTTCTTCCCAACGCCTCGTGCCCATCCCCATAGCACCGAGCCACGTCGGCACTGCTCAGGCAGCGCGGGGCTCTCGAGCATGAATCGCTGGCGGCTGGCTCTCCCCTTACACCCCTCGGGCCTCGTCCTA